CAGAAAGAATTGTCAACCTCCTGTCTGTCATGAAAAGTTGGCGTGTCATCTAGTTGTTTCACCGGTTTTGCCAAGAGTTTTTGTGTCGCCTACCTATCGTTTGTTCCCCAGCAAAGTTCCCATAGGTTCCACGTTATGTCACTGTCTTTAGCTCTTTTGAACAAGTTAACCTCGGGTAGTTCCGTTGAAATCTCATGAGAAAGTATCAAAAAGAGCGAAAGGCAGCGTCGCACGCGCGCTGGTTCACACATGAGAACTTTTCTGGGCACAGACGATAGGTGTTTTTTTTGTTGTTGTTTTTTCATCAATGTTCACCCAATTTTCAACTCAGCAACTCTGTAAACATTAACATCATAGAATAAACATTAACATCATAAACTCATAGTAATGACCTGCTGTTCTCGGATGAACCGTATTAAATCTGTTCAAAACAGAAGTGAGCGCTAATATTCTATTGTCAAAGTGAAAAACAACCGGCGGCATACTTCACGTCATCATTCGGATCTTTCATGGTTGTACTCTCACGCGAAAGTGGTGAAGAAAACTGCCACTGCTGAGGGCAACCAAGATGTTTTAATAAGCTTTTACTGTTTTGCTTCTATAAAAGGCAGCTGGATAGTTTTTGAGTCATCTCGAATGGTTTCGTACTTCGCCGGGAATGATTTTGAAAAACATGTCAAAATGAGTTGAAACTTGTTAATTTTTCTTTTGGTGGCAGGTCCTTGTTGAATATAGGAAAAATTCTCTAAAGACTTTGTGAAAGAGGTCACGGAAAGTACCCCATAACCATAGAGGCAGTGGCTCGGCAAAACAACTAAACGTCAGAATTCTTACGCTTATGGCATTCATGCATGAGATGCGGAAGCTTACTTCAAGTTGATCATAGAAAATTGCAGTTTGAAGTCTTTACCCATGAATACCGAGAAAATAAAGAAGCTCCGCAATGTGAGGACCATAGCTCTCATAATGGTGGTTGTGGGAATCCCTCATCGAGCGGTGAATACAAGAAGCGAATCACAAACTTATCAAGAAGATTGCAAAAGGCGCTCATTTCTCTGCAAAGGTGAGTCAGAAAATGAGATTGTTGTAATGAGAAGTTTCATGTTTAGAATGCCTAAT